TTTGTCGTATATGGCCTTTATTATGTTGAGGTAGTTCCCTTCTATCCCCGTTTTGTTCAGAGTTTTTATCATAAATGGCTGTTGGATCTTGTCAGATGCTTTCTCTGCATCTATTGAGATGATCATGTGGCTTTTATTCCTCAGTTTGTTGATGTGGTGTATCACATTGATTGATTTGTGGTTGTTGAACCATCCCTGTGTCCCTGGTATGAATCCCACTTGATCATGATGTATGATCCTTTTGATGAATTGCTGAATTTTGGTTGCCAAAATTTTGTTTAGGATTTTTGCATCGGGGCCGGCTCCGTGGCCGAGTGGTTAAGTTTGCGCACTCCGCTGCGGCAGCCCAGGGTTCGGATCCTGGGTGAGGACATGGCACCGCTCATCAGGCCACGTTGAGGCGGTGTCCCACATTCCACAACTAGAGGGACCTGCAACTAAGATATACAACCATGTATCGGGGGGGTTGGGGAAATAAAGCAGGAAAAAAAAAAAAAAGAATTTTTGCATCTATGTTCATCAGCGATATTGGCCTGTAGTTCTCTTTTTTCGTGGTGTCCTTGTCAGGCTTTGGTGTCAGCGTGATGTTGGCCTTGTAAAATGTGTTAGGGAGTGTTCCATCCTCCCTAATCTTTTGCAATAGCTTGAAAAGGATAGGTATTAAATCCTCTCTGAAAGTTTGGTAGAATTCCCCAGGAAAGCCATCTGGTCCTGGGGTTTTATTCTTTGGGATGTTTTTTATTGCTGTTTCAATCTCTTTCATTGTGATTGGTCTGTTCACATTGTCTGCTTCTTCTTGAGTGAGCTTTGGGAGATTGTAGGAGTCCAAGAATTTGTCCATTTCATCTAGGTTATCCATTTTGTTGGCATATAATTTTTCGTAGTATTCGCTTATAATCCGTTGTACTTCTGTGGAGTCTGTTGTTATTTCTCCTCTTTCATTTCTGATTTTGTTTATTTGAGCTTTCTCCCTTTTTTTCTTTGTAAGTCTGGCTAGGGGTTTGTCACTTTTATTTATCTTCTCAAAGAACCAGCTCTTTGTTTCATTGATCCTTTCTACCACCTTTTTCATTTCAATAGCATTTATTTCTGCTCTGATTTTTATTATTTCTCTCCTTCTGCTGACTTTGGGCTTTGTTTGTTCTTCTTTCTCTAATTCGGTTAGGTGTAGTTTAAGATTGATTTATTTGGGATTTTTCTTGTTTGTTAAGGTGTGTCTGTATTGCAATGAATTTTCCTCTTAACACAGCTTTTGCTGTATCCCATATGAGTTGGTATGGCATGTTATCATTTTCATTTGTCTCCAGGTATTTTTTGATTTCTTCTTTAATTTCTTCAATGATCCATTGCTTGTTCAGTAGTGTATTGTTTAGTCTCCACACCTTTGTGCCTTTCTCAGCTTTTTCCTTGTGATTAATTTCTAGCCTTATAGCATTATGATTCAAGAAGATGCTTGTTATTATTTCAATATTTTTTAATTTGTAGAGGCTTGTCTTATTTCCCAACATATGGTCTATCCTTGAGAATGTCTCATGCACACTTGAGAAGAATGCGTATTCTGCTGATTTTGGATGAAGTGTTCTATATATGTCTATTAAGTCCAATTGTTTTAGTTTTCCGTTTAGCTCCACTATTTCCTTGTTGATTTTCTGTCTGGATGATCTGTCCATTGCTGTGAGTGGGGTGTTGAGATCCCCTACTATTATTGTGTTGTTTGTAACGTCTTCCTTTAGGTCTGTTAATAGTTGCTTTATGAACTTTGGTGCTCCTGTGTTGGGTGCATAGACATTTATAAGCGTTATTTCTTCTTGATGAAGTGTCCCTTTGATCATTATATATTGTCCCTCTGTGTCTCACTTTACCTGCCTTATTTTGAAATCCGTTTTGTCTGCTATAAGTACTGCAACACCTGCCTTCTTTTGCTTGCTATTAGCTTGAAGTATTGTCTTCCACCCCTTCACTCTGAACCTGTGCTTGTCCTTGGGGCTGAGGTGTGTTTCCTGGAGGCAACAAATTGTTGGATCTTGTTCTTTAATCCACTTTGCTACTCTGTGTCTTTTTATTGGAGAGTTCAATCCGTTTATATTGAGGGTGATTATTGATGCATGTGGGCTTAAGGCTGTCAATCTGTCGCTTGTTATCTGGTTTTCCTGCATTACCTTTGTTTCTCGTCCTGTGTGTTTTAGCCTACCCAGTGACTTCTGCAATTTCTTATGCTGGGTTTCTTAGATTTTTCCTTATTTATGTTTTGTGGCTCTGTTCTGTTTTTTAGTTTAGTGGCTACCCAGAAGTTTGTATTTAGAATCTCGTGTATAATGTAGTCTATTCTCTCGTGGTCTCTTACTTACTTGGCCTAGACTGATTTAGTCCCTTTGCTCTTCCCCTCCTAAATTATTATTTTTATCTCTTATTCCAACTCGTGTTATGAGTTTGTAGTTAGAGCGACAAGATTGTCTTTGCTTTGGTGGTTTTCTTACCTTTATCCTAATGCTATAGTTGAATATTTGCTATCCTATTCTGGTTCTATCTATCTGTCTCCCTACTCTGTGGTTTGTGATCCCTTTCTCCCTTTTTTTCCTTTTTTTCAGAACCTTCTTGAGGATTTCTTGTAGTGGAGGACTTTTGGTTACAAATTCCCTTAACTTTTGTTTGTCTGGAAAAGATTTAATTTCTCTGTCATGTCTGAAGGATATTTTTGCCGGATAGAGTATTCTTGGCTGAAGATTTTTATCTTTTAAAGTTTTGAATATGTCACTCCATTCTCTCCTAGCTTGTAAGGTTTCTGTAGAGAAATACGCTGAAAGTCTGATAGGAGTTCCTTTGTAGGTTATTTCCTTCTGCCTTGCTGCCCTGAGTATTCTTTCTGTATCTTTCATTTTTGCCATTTTTACTACTATATGCCTTTTTACATTGACAAATCTAGGAGATCTGAAAGCTTCCTCCACACACATTTCTCCCTCAATCCCTAGATTTGGGAAGTTCTCTTCTATAATTTCATTAAGCACACTTTCTGCTCCATTTTCCTTTTCCACGTTCTCAGGAACTCCTATGATCCTTAAATTCGTTCTCCTCATTGAATCTGCTATTTCTCTGATATTTTCCTCATTCTTTTTAGTTCTTAGTTCTCTTTCTTCCTCTGTCTGGAGCCATTCAGCCTGTCTATCTTCAATTATGCTAATTTGCTCTTCTATGGTGTCTACACGGCATTCAGGGAATCCGCATTCTGTTTTATCTGGTCCATTGTATTTTTCATTTCTAGTATTTCTGTTTGATTCTTCTTTATAGTTTCAATCTCTTTTGTGAAGTAACTCCAGAACTCGTTGACTTGTTTCTCTCTCTTTCCCTCTACCTCATTGAATTTTTTTGATGATAGTTACTCTGAACTCAATTTCACTTAGTTTACCTATTTCCAAGTCCTCAGGACTTAATTCTGTGTTTTTATTGTTTTCCTTCTGTTCTGGAGCTTTTATAAATTGCTGAATGGTAGAGGAGCGGTTTTTGCGCATGATGGTGGTATTCGGTTGCAGTTACAGCCTGTCGCCACTAAATGGGGGTTGAGAGCCACGCGTTCTGACCCCTCTGCCTTCAGCTAAGATGGCGGCCCCCAGTGTGGGTTGGGAGAGCAGGGGCTCTTTCTCTCGCAAGCCAATCTGGATTTCAATCAGCTCTTGTTCTCTGGTCTCCCGGGGGCCTGGCTTGATGGGGTCCCCGCACACGGAAGCTTTCCCCCATCAGCGGGTTTCCACTGCACTGGCAGCTGGAGTCCTGGATGATCCCCCAGTCGTGCAGCCCCTCTCCGGCTCCTTCCCTCACCCGCGGCAGCGATCCCAGTCTTTAGGGGAGGGAGCAAAGTTCTCTTACCCCATTCCAGCTCCTCCGAGGCCGGCCGCAGCCTCTCCGTCCTCTGCCTTCTTGCTCTGTAGGTCTCTGACGGTCTCGGCATTAGGGTTATTATTTGAAATTCAGTTTTTCCATTTCTTTGGTTGTATTTTGGAGGGGAGAGAGTCCCGGCTCAGCTCACCCCACCATTTTGCTCTGCCTCCTCCCAATTGTCCCAAACTCACTTTTAAAACCTTGTCTTTTGGTGAGGTGCAGTTGTGATACTAATTCCATTTCCTCAGTGGTTATTGGTTGATTTAAATTGTCAAAATCTCTGTAATATTTGTTTTCCTATAAGCTTATCCATTTCTTTCTTTTACACTTTCAAAATTTTTGTCATAAATAGTATGTTTTAGAAATCTATTTGTAGTTACGTCTTTTTGTTTTTATCTAAATACCATTCATTTGGGCTTTTTTTTCCGAATAGTCCTTGCTAGAGGTTTTTCTGAAAGTATCCTTTTGAAGCAGCCTAGTCTCCCTCGAGGGATGGCCACCAGCGGTTTCTGCTACAGCTGTGGCTTTACCTACACTAATAGTGTTGCTTATTTACACTTTATACTTTACACTTTCAATACACTTTAAAATAAACATAGCTTTAGTACAGCTGTTTTGCTAATCCTCTAACTTCTCATTTTTTCTGTATTTTATCCTTTTGCTAGGTTTCCTGTGTTGTTTACTATCCACAGTTTTCTCTATTGTATTGTTTCATTTTTGTGTGAACTATCATTTTGAGAGAGTACATAACGTTGTTAAATTCATTATTCATTATTCACACCCTGAGCATACTGTTATAAGTACTTACTATATGCTGGGCATTATGGGAAATAGAGTAAAGAATGAAAAGAAATAGTTCATGTTTAACCAGGTGAGTTTTTATACTGTAATACAGTGAAATAAATGACATTGGTTCTCTCTCCCATTCTACTTATCATGTAATCAGGCTCCATTTTTGAATGAAGGTTTTGGACAAATAATTAGATATTTTCATACAGTACTCTAACAGTATAACTGTTACATTTTGAATCCCATAATGGAAGACATCTAAGTCTAAACCCATGGTCAGATCACTGTGGCTTTTTATATTTAAGTTAAACTTTAAAATGTGCTGGCCTTATAAACTGTTTCCTAAAGGAATTTTTATTATAAACAGATGTCAACATTTCAATTCAAAACCACAAAATTTCTGACAATATTCTAGGTGACAATTGCATGAAGTGCCCTCCTGGACTTTCAGGAAATAACTCCTGAATGAGTACAACACTCAAATGGAAGTTTCTCTGGTTTATCTTACTGAAATGAAAATTGTGTATTTTTGCTCAAAAATCTCTAACATAACAAGGTAAAAGATAGCTATCACTATTACCCAACATAAATAAGAGCTTTTGCAGCAAAAACTAGCAGTCCTGCACCAGAACGAAGGGACCTAGAAACACATTCCAAACTCCACTCAAACACCACCTCAGTTCTGAAGAACTCTTTTTTTTTTTTTTTTACTACAGTAGGACTATTTACTCTCTAATTTTGATCCAGTGAGGAAAGTGTTAATAATAGTCATAATAACAATATACATCTATATTGTGTCTACTATGTGACAAGCACTGTTTAAGCACATATTAAATTTCATGTTGTAAATTTAAAAAAAAACCTGGCAATCTTATCTTTTGCTGTTAAAAGCCTATGGTTAGCGATTGCTAAAGAAATGTGAAGACTAGCAAAAAAGTGGGCAGTAGACTGTCTAGTTCTTTCCAAACATGTAAACAGAACAAAAGGTACAATAGTTTACGAATGCGAGAACTAAGCAAACCAGTGGTGAGTTCTTTTTTGACAGACATAAAATCCTTCATACTGCATTAATTATAGTATTCTTTCAAGTGCATTGGCCTTGACTGTAAGAAAATTATTGGGGCCAGAAGTTAATCGTATACGATGAAAAATTCCTCCAGGAAAAGCCACGTTTGCAAACCAGCTAACTCAATCCTGATTACCCATCTGTTAAAACTTCACATTTATGTCACAGAAATTGAAGACATAAACTGAAACAGGTTGACTGTTTTGGCTTCCTCTGTGATTAGCCACCCACACAGCCACAAAGGGACCATAACGTTAGTGTTTGTTTCCCCACTTCTTTACCTATGGAGTTCTGTTATGGAACTTGTCAGCTTTAACAATGAAGGGAAATTATGCTCATATCCCATCAACCAAGACTAGGATAGGAATCTATCTTTGACTAGAGGAGTTTAGTTGTGACTTTCAACTGGTACGAACAGAGGGTCATGCTGGTTAAATTAAGAACTTTCCTACCATTACTTATACTGTGAAAAGTTATTTGAAGAGTACATTAACATAACCTTTCAAAAATCACACAACAGAAGATCTTCATTGACGCAATAAGTCAGTCATCTGTGGATATTCGGATAAGAAACTCTAGGATAACCCAAACCATACACACTTTACCTCTTGCTTTCTCTACTAGAATATGCACATTGGAAAGTTCCAACCGTTTCCTCTACTGAAGACAGTGAGAATTACCAGGAGCCATCCAGGCACGACTTTCTGAATGTTTACAAAAGGCTGACCCTTGATGAGAGAAGAGACTTTTATTTAAAAAACATAATTATATTTTTAAAAACCTAAATTGACCCAATTCATTCTCAAAATAAGAGTTGATCCATGTTTTCAGTTTATTGCCTTACACAAAACATTTTATAAAATAATATGGTAGACTTCCACTTCAACATCTTCATGTAAAACTTCACAGTGCAAGAAAGTGATTGCTGCTGAGTATGAAGACATCTAAAGCCAACCAGTATTTTAAGCATAGGGTAGAATATTTTTGTGATTCTTCCTAAAAAATGTTAGCACATTCATTAAATTTTATAAAAATTTATAAAGATCACTTAGCATCCACTTCTTATCCTTCAGTATGTATTTTTATCTACATGGCATCACATTAAATGCTGGTGGACAAAACAGCTGAAGAATCTAAAAACTTTTCAGGTAGCACAATGATTTAAAGCCAACTACGAAACAGCTACCCTCCAAATATTTTTGTACGTAATTTTCTGTCCATTATCAAAATAACAAAGTGAAAAGGCTGTTATACCTTAAAAAGAAGCTAAAGGAAAATATTGTCCTTTTCCTTTGAAAATACCATTTCTTAGCTCTTAAAGAAGGAAAAACTTTAATTTTTGGGGGGAAGTGTTTCAAAGTAAAAACATCAAGTTTATGTCAATCGTACAAAAGTCTCATTTAGGAAAGAAAGTGAATACTTTGATTCAAAGGATTCTAAAATATTTCATCATTATAAGAAAAGTTTTAAACCAACAAAATTGTAGGAAACTAATAGAAGTCATCCACTAGCATATCCTATTGTTTTTCACAACACCCATATTAAGGAACAACAGGTTAGGTGAAAGATTTCTTTTTCCACCATTTGGTCAAATCAGCTAAACCCCTGGGCGAACCACACACTCGGAGTTCCAGGATCATCATCTCTCAGGTGAGGAGCCTGGACTAACTGCCCTTTGACATCCCTTCCAACTTACAAATGTACGTAGAATTGTTAAGCTGACGTAATCCTTCTGAGAATGAGGTGTTCCCACTCACAGTATTTTCCAGATAAATAAAATTCCCCATTTAAGTAGTAAAGCTGTCCTTTAAACATTTAAAATCTTACTTTAAAATTTATTTTGAATGTACTTCCCTGTCGCCTAAAAAGAAGAGGAGGTATGGCTAACAACATGGTCGCCTCACTTCACGGTCTCCCAGTCCTGGCGGCTGACGCAGGGATCGGCAGACACAGCTTGGGCCCTGACTCCAATTCTGTGCCACTCTGGGCCACGTTCTGAATCTCAAAATGATGATGATACCACCTGCTCTAGATCTCTCTATTTTAAAGCCCAACAGAGTTATCATAATATACCAAAGTACTGGTAAACTACAAATTACCATACAAATGTAAAGGATTGTTGTGACAAACCCAAGTTGATTTTTTCCTGATAATAAAGTCTAGGTATTTTTTTATAAAATATAAGTTCTTTGTGAACACTTGCACATTTGCGATTCTGAACCTTTGGTTGCCTGACTATCCTCCTGTGTCAGTTTGCCTCCTGCTTCTAACTGCACCAGGCCTGAGATTCAGTTTGTATCTCCTGGAGTCTAGAAGTCTGACCTTTCAATAGGTGAAAACCAAAACCTAAAGACCTCTCTGTTATTTCAGTGAATGAGGTATCATTATGCCCTTTACAAGACTCGTTTCCTCCATCGGCGAGGCATCAGGTTCACCACGGAAGCGTTTTAAAAAGTGAGATTCCTGGGCTCCAGCCATAAAGAGTCTGATTCTGTACGTCTGGAGTAGGACCCAGAAAAACTCTGTTTCTCAAAATCTCCCCCAAGTAACCCTAACAATCAATAGCTCAGGTCTTCGGACTCACTGCTTTGCCCTCAAATCCCTTTCTAGGACTGTAGCAGTGCTGGGTTTAGTATAAAAATTCCCCCTTGCATTAATCACAAGTACATTCAAAGAAGATTGCGCAGGATCTTGGCTTAGCTCCATGGGGAACCAGTCATTACAATTCTTTGCAATAATATTAAAAAATGATTAACTTCCGAGTGAAGACAATGCATGTAGATGCTGAAAGGTTCTACACTTACAGGACAACTGCCTTCCGCTTTACTTGCAGTTAGTCACTGGTAATGAAGATCATCTTATTAGTTATCATTACCAAATAAAGGATGGCAGAACTCCTCCAAAAAAACGAAAGATGGCTAACTAGCTAATCAGTATTACTAAGAAAATGTTCTAGCAGACATAAACGTGAAGTATTTTTTAAAAACACACAGCTTCCCATAGAAACCCAAAAACTTCAACGCTTCCGAAGGCTACCATAAAGAGGAAAGTTGACCAAAACTATGGTTGTTTAAAAATATCTTCAATTAACTGTGAAAATATAAGTGTAAAATAGGTACAGTTTCATCCTTTAGGAGGTTTAACAGGCATAAACGGAATTCATTATCCATTTATTCTACCCAAAAAGTTAATTGTGAAAACAACAGGTGAAGTATTTGGTATAAGGTAGTTCTGAACACCAAATCTCTTCCAAATTTAATACAAAAGCCACAGCTGGATTTTGCAGGTGTCCCAAGTCTATCTAGGCGCTACGGAACGTTGTCATGTCCTTCGGTTCTCTGCTGGGGACGCACCAGTCGTCAGCCTCGTGGTTGGCGTTGTAATGCTTCCAGGCAGCTTTGTTATACACGGGGAGTCTTTCTACTGATTCTGTGGACAGCGCCTGAAAGAGAAAGAAGGACCCAAGTCTGGCATGTTTTTACATTTCATTATCTGGGAAAATATACAATGGCAAAAAGATTACTACGAATTAAACAATACTTTATTGGATTTGTATTTTATTAATCATAACACCATCTACCTACATTTTAAAATAGTGTACATATTTGAAACAGTTTACTTACTAAGTCTACAGCACTGCTTGGTGTGCACGTTGACATGCTTGCCTGGCATGCAAGCAAGACTTTCTAGCTTGCAGTACTTCTCCAGCCAGCCTGCCAGCTGCTGGACTGCAAGCTTACACAGGTCTAACAGACACCTCTTACAAAGCACAAGCCACAAGTTCATTAATTGAAAAAAGCCAGTTAAGTATAAAAGCATAACAACTGATATATGTACCTTAATAGATGTAATTGCACAATCATTTAATGAAGTCTATTTTAATTATTCATTAGAAGAAATGCTATTTTTTCAGTATAGTCATTGTACTTTAAAAAAACGTCATCATAACAATATTATTATCAGTAAATATACAACTATGTCCAAGGCATCTTGACTTTTGCTTGAACAATTCTTGGCCCTGGGTTTGAGCTGTGTCTTCTCCTTCTGCCACTAGAGCCACCAATTTCAGTGACAGCATATGTCATCTCTGCATCATGCATCATTTCAGGTTCCCAATTCCATTACCTTTCATTCACTGCTCTCTTTCAGCTTCCTGAAAATCACTGGAACCTGACAGCAACTATGTTCCTCATTATCTTCTTCAGTTACGATATTTCAGTAGGATTTCAACCTAAAGGTATTTCCCAAGATGTAGAAAATATTGAACTGGAAATTTCATTCCAATAATGATAAGGAAGATCTTTGATGTTGATGATTTTAATGATTCTTTAAGACTTCCTATCTTCTGTTTTTTCCAAAATGGAACTAAAAATCTTTCACTTACATATTCTCTTTAAATATGTCAGAACTACCAGAATCCCTTGGTCAATTATGTGGATCAAAAATGTTACATTTGGTGACAAAAATATTGCCTTCATGTCACCCTTTTTAAGTTCCTCATAATTGAGATGGATTAAAAAAAGAAAAGTAACTATTATCTTGAAAGACTTTAACCTTTTCAGACAAATTTTTCCAATATAAAATCTTCAGCATTTCCTATAAAGTAGGTGCCATCTAGTGGACAGAACAAGAAACTAGAGTCACTAAATAGGTGCTACCAGTCCTCCGCCTGGTGGATTATGGTGCCCAGTGCTTTCCATCCCTGCAAAATACACTGATCTCTGCAGAAACACGTGGACCGTCCCAGACCAGCAGCTCAGTGCTTCTGCTCCCACCAGGTGAGCTACATGCATACCAAGAGTCACCTACGCTTGTTCCCAAATCTGTCTATACAATTACAACTGTAATTCTAACTACAAAATCATGTATTGCTCCACAAGAAAAGGGGGGTTTTCTGAAAACGAAGATGAATGCTTTAGAAAGACTCATGAAAGCAAGTTACATAAAAATTGCTGTCAAATCAGAGTCAGAAAACATCTGTAAAGGACTGCAGAAAAATCAAAAAGGATTACGCACTTGGTTGTTTGTTTAAGAAACCAAAACAATGCATTGTAAGTACAGCTTTTCCAAGAAAGACAACTGAAACTTCAACCTGCAGACCCAAATACAAAGAAAGGGCCTTGGCAGTACATCAAAAGATTGGTAGATCAATGTCCATTCACGTGTTTTATGTTAAAATTAAATTTGTAAAATATATAACTTTGGATGATGCTCCACTCCAACCTGATTTTTTTCTATTAACCATCATGGTCCTGATCATTACAGATAAGAGCGTTTCTTTTCCCATAGTCAAGGAGATTATTTGGCAAAATAGATCGAGATCCTATATAAAAAATCTTATTCTTATATTTTAATAGCATGAGGTAGAGAAAATGTCATTACAGCTAAATATTGGCATCTTTTCTTACCATAAATGAGGTGTCAGTAAATCAAGAAGACTGGAGTTATTACCTTAATGTAGATCACTGCATCCGTCCCATAACCCTCTAGGGAATACAGCTTGAGGTCTCCTTGGAAGTATTGTGCATAAAGTCGTGATATGGGCAATCCATAACCAAAACCAGCCTGTTTGATGAGAAAAATGAAATTCTCTTCAGAAAGCCACACACTGACATACTTTTCTAATTAAAATAAATGCTCCTGAGTATCCCAGGGCTATCAGAGCCTGCCTCGAAGAGATCCATTAATACCCAAGTATCACTAATGATCAAGCTGAAGCCTAGTTGGGTAATACATTAGATGACTCCCCTTGGGTCATTTAAGACTCCTCATTCTTCTTATTTCTATAAAGTGACTTGTGGGGCTCTGGAAAAAACATGTTGCTGTTCTTCACTGTCCTAGAGTATCCCAATACTGCTTTTGGGAATATCATATAAAATATGTGCTCTCTTTTAAGAGCAAGAGTAGAAAACACCTTGCTGCAGCTTAAGAGATATATCTCATTACTTCATACCATGAATTTCTAGCCCGTGTTCTGAACCTGGAGAGATCCATAATAGGTCTACTTTCTTAATTCTGACAGGCCACTTCCCTACTTAAAAATCTTCAAAGCATATCACCACGACCCCACCTCGCAGCATCCCCAACCCATTTGTTGCCTTGAGATAAAAAATCCAAGCTTCTAAAAAGAGCTTTCAAGACCCAATAAGATCAGGTCTTTGCCTCCCACTTCCCAGTCCAGCTGAACTAAATCTCCTGCTCTTAAGTTCCTCAAACATATCACGTTATTTTTCACTCGGGAGTCTTTGTTCATCCCGTTCCTAGTATCTAGAACGGCCTTCTTACCTGGATAAATCCTAGAATTTTTAACGCAAAGCAAAACATTTGGATAAGTGTACAAACAGTTTTTATCACCAAGTCAGGTGTTCAATGACATTCCATATAACGCTTTAGTTAAGAGCTTACACGGTTTCAGGATTCAGAGTGCCATTAACAAATCCAGGCTCTGGCTTTACTCACTTCCATCATTTATTACTTGACTTTTCTAACCAGAGTTTCTGTTTGCCCCTCCTAATCAACCCTCCATTCTCCACATTTCTCCCTGCCCTGGGAGGCTGACCTGAAAGGATGGCGTCAGTGGGTTCCATGCCCTCTGCCTCAGCGAGTCTGGCCAATGGAGAATCCAGGAGGAGTTCAGAGGGGTCAGATCAGGGTATTCATTCCCCCTCTTCCTTCCCTTGGGCAGGCTGGGCCCCTTGAGAGTAAGCAGCTGCTCCGCCACTTTCCCTTCTTCTGGGTTCTGCTAAGTTCTCCTCCTTTTCCCTTTGATTCAGGGTAGGGACAGCTCTACTGCTGCTAGCCTTGGATTCCTGCACTATCCCTACTTCTATTTTTGTAAATAAGCTTTCCTTAAATTACCATAATTTGAGTGAGCTCTCTCTTTGCTTTTGGGACCCTGACTGATACATTATTTGGTTCCAGAAACAGCCCCAAGAAAACTGCACAAGCAGGTGGCGCAGGATCCCACGGTGCCTGACCTGCTCTAACACTGCTTCTCCCTTAACCACACCTATGGACTCATGGGACATCCCCTTTAGATAGTTTAAGAGAATAAAACCAGGATGGGCTCGGCCCACTGATGGATCTACAGTGCACCAGCACCAGCTAAAAGTGGATGTCCTTTCACTGTAACCTCTCTCAGGGGTGGGCCTGAAAGACAGGAGTGAAGGAAACTCCTACCAGTGGGCAGAACTTGAGGTGGTACCCTACAGGGACTCAAGGGCAGGGCAAACACGCTGGCTTGGAGTCAGGGACTTGCAAAGAACAAAACAGATAACTGATGAGAGGGAGCTCTGGAAGAGAGGGATGCAGATGGTCCTCTCTGCATGGGCTCACAGTGTGAAGATATTCCGTCCATGCAAATGCCCACCAGAAGGCATCCACGTGGAAGAAGCTCTCAGTAATTGGGTAGACAAGGGATCACTCCTGTGGATATCAAGCAGCCTTTCTCCAGCTGTCCCAGTGCCTGCTTACTGGGTCCACTTACAAAGTGGTCATGACATTAGGAAAGGGGCTCTGTGCAGGCTGAACAACTGTCTTACCCTCGGCAAGCCTGTGTAGGTATATAGGGGAGCCTGTGCCATGTCAAGCCTCCTGTTTTCTTAAAAATTCACATAAAATTTGCATCCTTAGCAACACATTTAATCATCACAATAACCTGATTTCTAAAGTTGGGGAAACTGTGGTATTAAAATGTCAATAATTTTCCCAGGGGCCGGCCCCGAGGTGGAGTGGTTAAGTTCTCACACTCCGCTTTGGTGGCCCAAGGTTTCTCTGGTTCGGATCCACGGACACGACACCACTCATCAAGCCATGCTGAGGCAGCATCTCACATGCCACAACTAGAAGGACCCACAACTAAAAATACACAACTATATACTGGAGCGCTTTGGGGAGAAAAAGGAAAAATAAAATAGTGAAAAATAATAATAATAATTTTCCCAAAGCTACACAGCTAGGATGTGGTGGAGTGAGGAATGGAACCAGAGAGACCGAGGTCCAGCCTGGACGAAGACGCTATGCCACTCTCCACAAAAATGCCACAGTATTTGTCTACTACAAAAGCAGTTTATCCCTTCTCTCCCCTTACTTCTCAGAGTAAAATCAGAATCTGAGAAGACGCTCATGTTTATTATTGGGCCTTGTACGTCTCTTGGCACACAGATGCCTACCCTGGGAGCCACAAAGCTCCATTTGAGAAGCACATCACTGGAGCAATCATTTTAAAAGTTTGTAAGCCATGAACTATATTACAGGTGTAGCTACAGAATTTGTGCTGTGTTAACACATAAAACTATTAGAATAAAGTCCTTCCAGTAACTTCCCAGACAGAGTCTAAAATAGATTTACCCTATATTGTATCTCATCATGTTATGTCATAACTCCAATGTACCTGCCAGAGAAGTTTAAAGCCTGGAAGAATAGTTCTTCCAGAATTACTGGTCAGAGATTTGGCAAAGAGCTTTGCTGAGAGCTGGACAAGGATACAGTCAATTCAAAAGCTAACCTTATTAAACTTGAAAATAGGTGACTAAGATGAATAAAAATTAACATCAAAACAATTATAATTTGAGCCATTTCCAGGTTGGGGATTAAAGTGATCAGAATTCTGGTCTTATTTCTGGGTCTAGAACATGAGCTCTTTCTAATTACAAGTACTGGAGGAAAAAAAAAAATCAAAACTAAAGATTAAATCAGTGTTGGCCAAATACTAGTAAAACCGGTAATTTAACCTTCACCTTAGAAACAGCGTGTCAGATGTGGTTTACCAGGTGAAAACCTCTGGCATATCACTATCAAGCTTGGCAACGAGACACTAAAACGACACTCTCTGTCCTGTGTTCTTTTCAATCAAAAGAAAAGAGGAAAGTGTTTTTTTCTAATAGCTTCCCTTCTTCCTTGTGGTGTACCCTACACAAGGGTTTAACTGATTTATTTGGTAACTGATATATTTTTGGCAGTTCACAAAAACATACTTCATTATCTCTTGATCACATACCAGGGGCACTGCTCGGGATGTCTCCACACGAGGCCGGGGTGCGGTTGAGTACATGTAGTTGAAGAGTCTGTCAATCTTCCTCAAAGGAACACCACCTCCTCGGTCACTCATCTAAGATGAGAAAGGATCACGCCCTATGACCAAGTCCCATAAATAGCAAAGTACCAATGCATACCCACAGTGTCACAGTTAACTGTTGGCTGGAGAGTACCGCTTTTCAAAATGAATACTACGCAATCCAAGTTGGGAATGGAAACTTTGGCCCACTGGCAGACTTAACACAACTCCTCTAATACACAGAACTCTAATACATAAGAAACTCACTCATAATACAAATTCAGTGCTGTGGCCTGTGTATTTACTTAAGTCACACTAACAGTGCAATATAGCACAGAAATGGGGCCTAAGCTATCTTGGATGTAACAAGAAATTTGTTATTCCTTTCTGGTGAGCAGTTTGGCAAACAGATTAAAAATGCATGAACTCTTTGACCCAATCATGTTTATCCTAAGAAAATAATCAGAAACGTTTGCAAGGTATTTATGAGAACATCCATCATAGTATTACAAAGAACAGCTAAAACTGGATTACAACCTAAACAGGGGACTGTTTAAGTAAACTAGCGTACATTCTAAAACAGAATACTATTGAGCCATTAAATATTATGTAGAATTGTATGTACCGGCATGAGAGATGTTCACAAAATATTGTGCAACAGCAAAAAGTTACAAAGAGGCATTCATAATATTCTAATTTTGTGAAAATTACATTATAAAAAGTCTGTAATGATATATAATTTTATTGTCTATTGAATTATGAGTGATTTTCTTCTTTTGAGTTTCTACTTTCTGAATTTTTTTTCACAATTTCTTTTATTATGAAAAAAACAGCATAATTTTCATGTTCAGGGAGGAAAAAAACAGAACCACTTCACTGTGTTGCAGAGTCTCATCTACAAGCAATTTCACAGCTTAGCCTCCCAGAGAATTTTCTGGTGAGTTTATTAAAAAAAATAGGTCTTTATATTGTTCTTATTCTTTTTCCTGACTCAAATCATTACACAGATTGAATTTAATCATTTATTTATAGATTATCTTCATTTTTTTTCCTTCACAGTTAATATGGACTTATTTTCCTAGTTACTGTACAGTTTATATTCTAATCTGCCACAGCCATTTTCCTTTGTTACAAAATCTAAACTGATTCTATCTACAACATTAAAATAGTTTTCTCATATACAAAAAAATCTGCTTTTAACATATGTATATAGATATATGGATAGATAAAAATAGTACTGAATGGTATGTATTAAAAAGTCAATAGGCTGGATGGCTTATAGTTGAGTTTTTATGTAGTCTTTAAAAAATCTTTAAAGGGGCCGGTCCCGTGGCCAAGTGGTTAAGTTGGCGCACTCCGCTTGGGCGGCCCAGGGTTTCGCTGATTCGGATCCTGGGCGCCGACATGGCGCAGACATGGCACTCATCAGGCCATGCTGAGGCAGTGTCCCACACAGCACAACCAGAGGCACTCACAACTAGAATATACAGCTATGTACTGGGGGACTTTGGGGAGAAGGAGGAGGAGAAAAAAAATCTTTACAGTATGGATATATGTTACTTTCATAATGGAAATTACATAGCTATTTTAATTTTTTAAATAAAAATCTGCTGGGAAATACCATTTGAAGACTTGCCTCTGACATATCTACAATGAGATCATTGCAGTATAAAAGTACTCAAGGACTTTGGTAAGAACTTATATGTAGCAGTATGCTTGAAACTGTTCTCAGCTATGAATTCAAAGCCCTGTGAAGAGATTTATTTTAGTAAGATGAATAAAAAGCTCTGGCTATTTTCTGAGATCCATCAATTTGTTAATTATTCATCCTTTAATTTAATGCTCTGCTGCACACTTGCTGGTAACGTGAGTAAGAAGTGTAGCTGTTCTATAAACATTAAGTAAGTAGACAACATATTACAATAGATATTAAGATAAAAAGGCAGAACTTCAATAAATATTTCCTGATTTTTTCCTTAACTTTTTGGCCAGAAAGACTATAGCAATCCAGAAGGTCTGAAACAGCAAGTGCTTTCTAGCCTCAGGCTCGTCTGAGAAAAGCACAGAGCTGAGCAGAAAGGACAGAGGTGACAGGAATATAGTTAAGAACTATATTCCATTGCTTTACAGCCAACACCACAATAAACTAGAACCAGTAGGTTTTTAAAGTGGTCAAAAGAGCTTCCAAGAGAGTTGTAACAGATGCTGTTATACCAGAGAATCTGAGTTCTCTGGGAAAAGAGAAGGTGGGAATAATGGGAGAGAGAGATGTTTGGTCTGTATATATTTAAGACAAGAATAATGTACTCTGATGAAAAATACATTGAGAAAGAATGTGAAAATTAAACAAAAAGTCTTTCATTAAAATAATTTGGGAAAAAAAATGTAGAATCATGGAACATAAACCAATGCCAAGGAAAAGGAAAGAGATTATGAAAGAGATGGGCGGTGGGGAGTAATGTCAACAGGAAGGCTGAGGAAAGGAAGCCTGCCAATTATTTTTCAAGTTTGCTCTTCAGTGCATGAAATCACCACTTCTCAATGTCATCTCACCAAGAGTTGCCATCCCTAACTTCCTGTTCCCCATAACACTGGGCTCCCTGGGCTAATTCATGTGACTTTCAGGTCCAAGGGAAATGAACCACTACTGACTTGATGACAGCTCTGAAGCAGGAGATTTACTAACCCTGGACTCACCCAGAGTTCCTGAAGTCCCTTACTCAACAGCTTTTTCCATGTCAAGCTTGTAAAATCACCAACAGCGAAGGAACCAAGACGTTTACATTTTAATTTAAAAGACACGTGACTCTAACACTTAGGTTATTTACTGAATACAGACCAAACAAAATCTGAAAGAGCAGCTAGAGCTGTAAGACAGAAAAAATCAATTCTGTCACGTGATGTTCAGCAGAGGGATAAAAGGTGAAAAATGTTAATAATCTGAACTAAAAGAATGGGGGGAAAAAACCCAGGCCTTGATCCTGAAAGTCTAGGGTAAGACAGGAGGATGAAAGCTCTATTGAAGAAAATTAAAGCAAGCATTTAACATCTAAAGAGATTACAAGAGTACACGCACTCACGTGACCTTGGAAGTCAGGAGGAGGAGCAACAGGTGGAGGCAGAGCCCAACACAGGTAGGGCTTTCACAGGGGCTTCGAGAACAGTCTGTTCAAGACCCTAATGAGATTTTCTTTCTTTTGTTTTAACAGCTTTATTGAAATATAATTCACATACCATACAATTCACCAATTTAAAGTGTGCAACTCAATGGTTTTTAATGTACTCACAGATATGTGCAACCATCTCCACAGACAATTTTGGAATATTTTTGTTACCTTAAAAAGAAATCTTGGCCTCTTTACTGATTACACTCCTAAGCAACCACTAATGTATGTCTTGTCCCTATATAACGTTTTCAGTGTTGTAGCATATAACAATACTTCCTTTCTTTTATGGCGAAATAACAGTCCATTGTATGGATACATCACATTTTGTTGATCCAGTCACCCGTTGATGAATGTGTGGGCTGTTTCCAGTTTTTGACTCTTGTGAATAATGCTGCTATGAACATCCATGTTTAAGTTTTTGCTTGAATATCTGTTTTCAATCCTTTAGGGCATACACCTAGGAGTGGAACTGCTGGGTCATTATGAACCTTTCTTTACACCAAATAGACAGATTCCCTAAGCAAAGCTTGGCCATCAGCACCGAATGAGTCTCTGCTGAGTGCCTAAGAGCTCAGCGGACCTTGATCCATGCAGTGATGGATGAACACAAGTAATGGAAAGCAGCTGCAGATGAGCATGCTAAAGCACATGACACAGAAGCAAAAACAGGGACAAGAAAGACCATGCTGCAGCACAAATGAAGTCAGATAGGACCTAGGTTGGATGAAGTAAACCTTAATAGGCAAGTAGCTGACATATAACTAACCGAAAAATAGACACACGTTAGCATCTGGGCTAAAAAACAGTGACATCACATTAAGTAAGCGTCACATTACTTTTTCAGCAAACAGATGGTATTGCCATATACTTATTAGTGCCTCACTCTTTTAAATGAACAGCCAAAAGAGAGAAACACAAAAAGAAATTCAGGGGAAACAGGCAGTACAGAGAGCAGAGACATTAATTTTTTTAAAAACAACTATCATTAATATCCTCAGAGTGATAAAAGAAGATAAAACTAGAACAGAATACCATAAAAAAGGAATAATAAAAAATAGGAGTCATTGGAAATCTATAAGAAGACAATGGAAATAAAAATTCAATAGAAGGGCTGGGAATTTAAAGCTGAGGAAATCTCAGAGTAGAATAAAAAGTTAAAGAGACAAAAAAACAGGAGGAAAAAAAGATAAGAAAAATCAGAGGATCATTTCATGAAGCCCAGCATCCTTCAAATACGACCATCAGAAAGAGAAACAGCATGAAAGAAAGTATCAAAGCAGCAGTGGAAAGTCTACATTCTAAAGGGCCCAGCCCAAGGAGTAAGAAGAGACCCACCACCAAGTCACGTCACTATGAAATTTCAGAATAGAGCTGAAGAGAAGATCTTAAAAGCTTCAGTCAAAACAACAACATCTGACACCTAAAACTGGTTGCATACAAAGGAATGGGAATTGGAATAAGCATAAGTCTTCTCAAAAGGAACAGCAGGAATGACTTCAGCAAAAATAGGGGAAAAGGAGCTCCAAAGTCTCTCCTCCACCGAAGCACTGAGAAAAAAGCCAAACTGTCAGAATCAGCTTTGTTCAGCACTCTGGAAATTAACCAAAGGCTTGCAGCAGTTTGGGGAGCATTTAGTCAAGAAAAACAACAGTGAGCTCTGCAGTGTTTTCACTTGGCTTATTCCCTGCCCCATCCTCAACCCTATCAGTAACATGCAGTCAGGCTGAAAGCCAACAGCCTGGCAGCCACTGGAAAGGCTGTCTGTTTTTGACCTGATTCTGAGCTCCCTAATGCAAAAAGTCTTGTACACACTGACTCCCCATTCTCAGAAACATTTGTCAAAAACAATTAGAGGGAATTGATTAATTTGAGGGTTGCCTGAGGCAG